TCTCTCTCTCTCTCTCTCTCTCTCTCTCTCTCTCTCTCTCTCTCTCTCTCTCTCTCTCTCTCTCTCTCTCTCTCTCTCTCTCTCTCTCTCTCTCTCTCTCTCTCTCTCTCTCTCTCTCTCTCTCTCTCTCTCTCTCTCTCTCTCTCTCTCTCTCTCTCTCTCTCTCTCTCTCTCTCTCTCTCTCTCTCTCTCTCTCTCTCTCTCTCTCTCTCTCTCTCTCTCTCTCTCTCTCTCTCTCTCTCTCTCTCTCTCTCTCTCTCTCTCTCTCTCTCTCTCTCTCTCTATTGAACAAGCAAGGGGGAATTTCATGTAGCATCATAGGCTCTCTCAAGTGATAGGCAACTGCCTCCAAAATCAAGTGTCTGTTTACAGCAACCCAGACCGGGCCCACAACCGAGACACCCGACCCCAACGCGAATCCATGGCGGCCGCTTCCCAGCCGAGTCCGCCCTCGCTCGTGTGCTCCATACCAAACAAGACGTTTGGTCAAGTGTGCCTGTTGGTGGGCCCTCTTTTCTCGCCAAGACCCAACCCAAATCAAATGGACTCATTCTATCAACAAATCGCAGTTGTGCCACTACTGCCGCTCTACTCACACATTCCCGCCGCCGTGGACCGCAAACGCCGCATGCCAACGACGATGTCAGCGACGACGATACGGCCGCGCTCGCGTCTTTGTGTGATTTGTTCAATGTGGTCGCGTCGTCAAAATTCAAACACGCAACACGTTCAAAACGTTGGCAGCTTGTGCCTATCCACAGGCTGAGGGACAGGACATTTCAAGCTCCACTCTAGCCCCACCCCGTGTCCTGGTTGGGAGGAGACGCTACCTTATGCCCTTGCGTCATCTTGGTCAGGAACCTGCCAAGGTGTGTCTTGCTTTTTGGTCGTTTGCCAGTTTGCCACGCTCGCTGGATTAGAGGGATGGAATGAATGAGAATGAGAGACTGCCGATCATAGCGACGTGCTCGGCAGGCAGAAAGCTGCCGGAGAAAGAGAACTGAAGGTTTCGTACACCAAGACGACCCCCATCTTTCATCTTTCATGTGCATTCTTCATGTGAATGGCAAAATTGTCGAGCAGGCGCCATTCCTTTTGTCATTCGTATTCTTTGTAAGGCATACTTGATGCCTAGCGCTAGGCTTCAAGATCCCTTAGCCCCTTCATTGACGACGACACGTGTTGGGTGGGTTGTGATTCCCAAGCTGTATGACAAGCACCACCCCCAACAACCAACAACCAAGCCAAACCCACTGGGTCATAGACCACGAGGGTTCATTCTGAAGGAGTTGGGCACCTTGAACCGTGGCACAATAACAAACGGCAAAAGGCGCAGCGTAATAACATCATGGGTCACAGTCAGCATGAAATTTGGTAAACGGCGTCGTCATGAGAGGGAACAAAAAAAAAAGATGAGATAGGATCATCAGGTACATGTCCAAGACCACTGTTTCAGATCCTGCCCCTAAGCTTGGTGCAGCTGCCAACCCCTCGTGACCGCTTGCAAACGGAGCTAGCTGGTCCATTCGACGACCACACGTACTCCTCACCCGTACAAGGTAGCAGGTGCCTAACTATGATGATCAGCGTCAACCATCATTCGTTACTTCTTCAAGAGGGCGAGAACAGCGCTGACGCCGGCGCACGACCACCACTCGTGTCATGTGAAACCGCACAAGCAATCAACCCCCTTGAACATTAAGTTTTGCCTCCTCCTGTGCAGCGAGAGCACCTGATCAACCCGCCGGAGCCATGGAAGAAGGCTGCCAGACGGGTCATTGTTTTCAACTTTTGACTTTCAATGTTGCAACCTGGAGCGGAGCCGATCGGAAATTTAGAGTTGCTAATTTACATGTTAACCATTGCAGGCAGTATTGGCATATCGGCATGGAGCAGGACCTTCCAACCTGCATCACTTTTTGTCCACGGCTCCAAGGCTCGAGCTGCGACGCGTTGTGCACTGTTCTGGTGTCAAACTTGCAAGTGATATCCCCACCACGGCCATCCCACACCACACCCACACCGTGTCGAAAATGAGCCCACATCCCATGCTGGGACAATGATGACAAGCTGACATGATGGATTTTATTTAGGAGATGCAACACGCTCCCCTCTTATCTAACAGTGTCTGACATTCAGGTCACGTTTGAATTTTTCGCAAAAGAGAGAGAGAGAGAGAGAGAGAGAGAGCTGACGACGCACCGCCGACACGATGGCAGCGCCGGCAGATGTTGCGCAGCTGGAGATGGCGGCCGTGGCCCTGGTAAGCTGGAATCATGGTTGCTCAATCAGCCTCAGGCGGTTCCTCTTCTTTTTCGCTGGCTTTGTCTGCTCATGACGACAGCACATCTTGAAAAAGCAAATCAGCAGCTCGCTCAAACTCAGCTCATGCTTTCGCGCACGCACAGACGGGTCACGATCCCACTGCCATCAAACAAGCTGAATCGCTGTTTCTTCAGTTTCGCGAAACGCCCAGCCCTTATGAGCTTTGTCAACACGTCCTGGCCCATTCCACGCACGCCTACGTGCAATCCCAATGCTTCTCCACCATCCACAACGCCGTCGTCCGCGAGCTGGCCCAACTAGACCCCGACCTCTGTTCTCAACTACGCCAGCTCATCTGGACCTGGCTCGCCAACAATCGCCAGTTCGTTTGCGCCCGCCGCTGCTCACCCATCACGCACTTGTGTTGGCTGCATTCATTCCTCGCCCGCTTATGTCCGGAAATGCATCCTGCCTATGCCGCCCCTTCTTATCGCCCGTACACCAGGGCCCCACACTTTGTCACAAGCATTGCGCTGCGCACGCTCGTGGTCCTCTACAAGCTGCTCTGGCTCCGTCAGGATGTCGGAGAAGCTTGGCAGCAGCACCTTCTCGAGCAATTCCAAGCTCTCGCCGCTGGCAAGGATGATATTCCACAGGTGCCCACCCCTGGTCCTGGCCCGACTCTTGGCTCTTTCGCTAGGGCCCGGTCTCCTGTTTGCCTCTGGATCCCCTCTCTCCATCATGCTTGCCCAGCGGGGCCCATGCTCATTGTTTGCCACCACGCCCACTGTTAGCTGCAACTGCTGCTCGAGTTGGCCTGCACCGCCCTGGATCAATTTGCCAGCAATGAACGCAGCTCTGAAGTGGGCCTGCCGCTCCAATTTCACCGCCAATGCCAAGCTCGCTTTGAAGCAGTGGCCCTGCGCCCCATTTTTGTGTCTACCCTGAATCTGTTTTTTGTACGTCCCGCGAGTGATCAGCACTTCTGCAAGCAGTCCCACCTGAGTTTTCCAACCATCTTGCACCTGCACCTTGGGCATAGAAACTCTCCGAGAGCGGTGTGGCGGGACAAGCCAGCATGCTGGGTCTGATTGTGCGCTGCGCTCGAGTCATTATGCGCATCCTCGACTGGCCCTTTCTCCACCGTCAGAGCCGGTCAGCGCTTTTTTTTCTGCGAGACGCTTGACTTCCCTAAAAGACCTGCCTGCCTCACGCACTTTGTGTGTGTGCGCTGCGCATAGGTTTGCGGGCGCTGTGTCACGAACGCAGCTCCTGTTCTGCCCGCCCGACTCTTGGCAAGACCTCTTGAGTGTGGACCTGCTCCGCCTCTTTGCTCAGGCACGTCCATGTCTGACTGTCAGCGCTGCATGGACCCCAGCAGGATGATTCTGCCTCTCACGTTTGTGTCTACGTGCCGGTCTCACTGCCCCGTGCTCTCATCCCTCTCCACGCACCCTTGCCATATTTTGACTGGCTACAAATGTGCCATTGGTCGTGTTCACAGCTCTGCGAACAGCTACCTTATACTACCATCGCCAACAGTGACCTCGGCCAGATCTTGATCAAGCTCATGGGCACTGATACTGCCTCGCTCACGCGGGAAGAGCACTTGATGGAGTATATGCAAGCATGCGTAGCCTGCCTCACTCAGTTGATGCGAGTGACCCTGGAATCGCCAAGCCGTCATCAAGAAGAGGACTTTGGTACGGCAAACGGTTCATGCCACCCTGGCTCCAACCCGACCGCGGCCACCATGCCATGACTCAACGCGCCCAAACCACCTGCCAACCCCATCAACTTCCATCAACTTTTAGGGTCTTACCTGTTAACGCTCACAACCATGCTGTCGCGACTCGTGGCCAACTTTGGCGCGCGCTACCTCATTCGTGTATCAACCTTGACCCTTCTCGAGGCTGCGGAACACATTATTCGCCTTGCCGCTCAGGCCATGGTGCTAGACGATGAAGATAACCCCATCTTTGGCGAAGCCCTTGACCAGGGCCTCCTTGCCCTTGAGATTTTCCTGACTGCCGATGAGGTCTGCCGCGCGTGCCTTATCCCTGTCCACGTCCAGCTGCACGCACTTGCTTTGGTGGTCAAGAAACTGGTGACGTACATTGCACCGAGTCTTCATGCGTACATCTCATCTGTGCCCCCTAAAAATGCAATTCCCAGGTTCCCTCGCCCTGGCGTGAACGCGGAACAAACGTTTTTGCTGCTTACGTGGAAGCCCGCATGCAAAAGTCTGCCGTCGACAGTGCCAACGATGACGAGGTGAATGAGCCACCGCGCACCCATTCTGCTTCGCCTCTCCTTGCTTTGATGCAGCCATGAGATTGAGCTTAGTGAATTGCGATTGGTGTGTCTGTGTGTCTGTGTGCGTAGGTTCATGAAGAGCAAGAAGGGGACGAACGCGCCTTCAGCGACCAATTGGCCAGTGTTGGCCTCCTGGGTCGTCAACACCCCGACTCGCTCTTTATGCTACAAACCTTGGTGCGCGCCTCCTTCTCAGGCAACCAAATTGCCTTGATGGCATCTTCTGCTCTCCACCTTGAAAAGCTCTTGCACACATCTCAAGCACGGAGCTTTACGACTATCCTCATTTTTACCCGTTTTGCCTGCAGCTTCGAGAACACGCAACCGTCTATGTTGCAAGGGTCACGAGCCCAGACCAGACAGCGGGTACGTCCTCGCTGCTCAGGCTTGCAAACCCAATATATCAGTCATTGCATTTGTCACGTCCTTCTTGTACCGAGCCTTACCTCTGGCTCTCGCATTCTCCGCCAGCCGTCGCAACATGCCATGAACGCATGCATTGGCTTCTCTTGATTTCCCGAGCCACCCTGGTGGATGCCACCCATGGTCGGGCGTTTGTGCCTCCACAAATGCTCGAGGCCATCAACGCAATGGAAACTGGCGGTATGTCAAAGACACATGTCATGCGCATTTCGTTCACTCACTCATATTCTCGACCCTATTGACCGTCATGATTTGTTGACGGGTGGTCCACAGGACACACCAACGTCGTTGTTGTCATGGTTGAACTCGTCATGCAGCTCCTGCTGGACATGCAAGCCTGTCTCGATCAAGGCCAGGGCTCGACCCTGAGCACACTGGTGCGTATGCGCCGCCATGCCCTTGTTTACATTTGGCTTCCTCATGGTTGTCCTTTGTTTAGGTGCTGCACTCTGTACTTCACTTTCTGGCCGCTGTTGTGGCCGCCTACGTGAGCGAGAATGACGCTGCCACACAGAGCCAGTAGGTGCTCGATGTACTGTGATAACCTGGCCGTGCTCTGTTTGCAGCCACCAGCAGACGCCTCGTGTTGACTCCAATTTTGCTTGATTTGACCCAGCTTGCCCTCCAGCCTCAGCCAGTACTTCAGCGTGGCCGGAGCTACCCCTTGGAGCACAGCTCTGCTCAAGCAGGTTGGCTACCTTGGCACTAGCACCTTTCCTGCTCCCACCACCCCCTTCTCCCTTGTGCTTGCGTGCTCACATGTAGCAATCTTTCTTCGCAGGCCGTCAACGTGTTGGCACAGTGGCATTTTGATGCTGACGTGTGTGGTGCTGCTGTCGATCTTCTGGAGGCAATTGCCACAAGCGCGGTTGGTTATGGGATGGTCAAATATTGTGTAAACCACGAGAATCCTCCGTTTGCAAGAGTTCTCTTGTTCACTCACACTGACTTGCTTCGATATAGGTTGGGCCGACTGTTTGCGTCGATGAATCTCTGTGGCAGGCTGCCTTGGCTATATGCAGCAAAGACAGTTCATACAGCGCCCTCTCGCTTTCTGTGTGTATCGACCTCTCTGCTCGTTTGACCGCGCCGTCGCTTGAAATCAGTGTCCCATGACTAACTTGATCGTCTCACGCCTTTGTCCCCACCCAGATGCAAGCACGCTTCATTGCGTGCGCTGCCAGGGCCACGCAATGTGTGGCCGAACCCGCGGGCTCCGCGTACCTCCAGCACATGACCAATCAGCTCTGCGAACCGCTGGAATGTAAGTGAGACACACGTTTTTGTTTTGGCTTGGCCAAGCTACGCTGCTTCGCATTCACTTGCCGCGTCGAGCACAGTGTCCGCCCAGCAGCAGAGCGCGAGCGTGGGCGCCGCCGAATCCACCGCAGTCTTTCATAGCATCGAGGTGAGCCTGGCCCCGTGCGCAGCTTTTGCTTTGTTATAGGTGGACCAGTACAACCTCATTCTAGACACGTGGCGCGTGCCCGACCTTGGCCCTGGGCCCGCCCTGCTTCGCCACCAACGTTCTTTTCTGGCTCATTTATCTTGTTTTGCTTGTCTGATAGCTGTGCCGTGCTGCTTTGGACGGTGTACTGCTCTACAAGCCACGGGCACGAGGGCTTGAGCCGACTTTACCGCTGGTCGGGCGCTGTGTGCAGGCCTTACCCACCATCGTTGCCCGGATCATCGTTGATGCTGAAGTGCGTGATGCCCTCGTCAATTTTAGCGCCGAATTGGTTACGTGGACATCCGATGCCTTTAGCAGCTGCGAGACGGCGGGTAAGAAGCGATGGCAGGCGCACGGACCGTTTTGCAAGCCTGGCTGTAGATGGGCTCGAGCACTTTTAAGCACTGCAACCTTATTTCAGGCTCGGTGCTGGGCTTGTCTTTGCGTGCGTCTTTTGACAGGTGTGGGTGAAGTCTTGGATTTTGTCCATCAAACCACCACACGTTGTTTGAAGAGTGTGACAACGCAGGATGTTGCCCGTAGCGACGACACGGCTGCCATGCTGTTGGGAATTTTCAAGATGCTGGAGGCTCTTCTTCTCGCTGGTGAGGAAGACGCTGCCTTTGCCCATCGTCTACCTGATGAGTTTAATGTAGTCCATGGGCGCATCGCCTCACGAAACTGCTTGGCTGGGTATCAAAAGCCGACTGCATTGACCTGGTGGGTGGGCACGAGGGTAGCCAGGAGCGCGCCCTACTCGAAAGCATGGTTGCGCGTTGCCCTTCCGTGGTGATGGAACTTCTGCACCATGCCATCCCATTGCTCAATGATGACCTATTCAAGGTATGCAGTGATCCACCGCGCATGCAGACAAGGTAGTGAGCGCACTGGCCCGCTCTCTCACGACGTTTTGGCCGTAGATGCCGTCAATAGCGGGGGCATTTTTTGCTACTCTGGATGCCCTGCGAGATATTTTCCCGCGCGAGGCACGCTTTGCTCGTGTTTCTCCCACCACGCTGCTTCGTCCCTTCCGTCATCGTGCCTTGCCCCACCTCGCGTCCGCTCATGTACATCTTGTCACTGGATTTGCAGCTGTACCTCGCACCCGCCGAGTTTTTGAAGCAACTGGCGGGCATGTTGGACTCTGGCATGAAAGTGGTCTCGGGTCCAGTGCCAAAGTGCTCGTTGCAGATTGTTGATCAGCTCGCGGGTGCCCACTGGAAGGCCTTGCAGGTACACGTGCTGCTGCGATGACCGGCGCAACTTGAACCCCCCTAGTCGAGCTCATGTGCTGGTGACCACATTTCTTCAGGCACAAAGCGCCCGCCCTGAATTTTCGGCCTTGCTGGAGCATTTCGTGCGGCTCATGTTTGACTGGTTTGTACGACAAACCTTTGACACGGAATTGCTGCCATTAGCTGGCGGTACACTCTTTTCTCTTCTCTGCTGTGAAGCTGTACGTTTCGTGACGCGTGTGGAAAGGCGACGCAGGCACGAGCAGCTTGATAACCATGCCTTGCTCTGACTTGTAGAACTACTTTATGCATCTGGCCAACGAACTCATCGCACAGCAAGTACGAGCCATTGCTGTTTGCTGTTTGCGTTTCTTGCACGAACTCTACCATGATCAATGTGAAAGGGTTCAAACTTCGTGCCAATTTGAGCACCTCCATGGTTTTTCTTATTTCTGCCTGTCTGCATTGGATGTGATCTTGTATAGCCGACAGAATACCAGGCCGTGTTGTCGCAAGCCTTTGAGAACCTGGTCTCAGGCGACGGGATGTCATTCAACAACATGTCGCGGGAACGACAGCTCTTTGTCAAACACTTTGCCAAGTTCCTGTTTGATGTGCGAGGCTATCTTTTACATAAATGAGCAGCACGGATGAAGCTTCATTCTCATGGTCATAATTAATACTCGGATGAAAATAAAAAAAAGCAAAGTGCGCGCAGCGCATCTGCTCTTTTGGTTCTGTGTTGCGATGCATGGCACCTCAGGACCCACTGCAAATTTTGATCCAGAACCAAAAGCACTGTCGTGGGCCAATCCTCACAATAGACGGCAGACCTGTTGAAGAAGCTGGCTGCAATTACCCTTGCACGTGCTGCTGCCAGCGCCGCTGCCAGCCCTGCAGGCCGAAAAGAGCCACCAAGGCATGCAAAAGTTCGAGGGCTAACGAGACCACCAGCCATCAACGATCGGTCAGCAGCGCCACACGGGCAATCCAAGCTGAACAATAAACACCTTATGAACCATGCCCTACTTACTTTCTGTCAAGAGCATTTGCTGCTGAGCAGCGCTGGCACTAAAAGAGAGGTGCGAAAGGGTCGCGAGAAGTTGAGTTTGCTCTTGAGCTCGGGCGCGGTCTACCCTTGAGCACCCGCACGCGATCGTGCGTCGACAAACCTCATCAGTGGACTATGTGCGGTCAAGGTGTTGCCTAGAATCCAGTCCAAAGCGCAGAAGCTATTGGCTCGGCCAGCCAATGCCATGAGGACTTTGAAGCCAGCCAGAACATCATTCATCTACACCAGACACAATCCTGCATGTAAGACACACGTGTACCATAGCATAGCACCACGAGTAAAGGAGAGGCTTAGACCAGAGCAGGAGCATCAAGAGCAGCACGGACAGCTTCCACGATTCGAGCCCAAGCGCGCCCTGCAGCGCTGGAGCGTGCCAAGTCCAGGCCCATGGGCAGAAGGGCGGCAACTACCATTCTAAGGTTCGAACACACAGCAGTGGTTATCCATCATCGAGCTGCATTGATTGAAAGCACACAAAATGAAGCAAAGATAACAATCACGTACAGAAGCTTGAAGACAAGCTCACGCAGCCAGCTCGGAGACTATGGAGCCGGGGTAACATTGGCAGGGACATCCGAGGAAAAATGATGTACAACGCACACGCAGGCAATGAGAGGCCAAGGAGGAGCAACACTACTGCATTTAACACTTTGGGCAGCACCGTGTACCTGACGAGTGACATCAGCGGCGGCTTCCCCAGCAGTGCGATTGGAGGCGAGAAAGAACACCTGAAAAGCAACAAGGTGAATGTTGTGTGTGTGTGTGTGTGTGTGTGTGTGTGTGTGTGTGTGTGTGTGCAGCAAAAGACCTTTTCATAATTGAGCCAGAGAAGACGGCTTGAGTCAACGAGGCGAGACTGGGTGGTCACAATGTCCATACCAAAAGAGTAATAGCACGAAGCGCTGGCCGCAGCAGCTCATCGTCAATGTTCTGCGGTCGATGGTGTTCGTGGTAGCCACCATGGCACGCATGAGCGGGGCCGCACCAAGCACCAAGGGCTGCGGCTAGTACCAAGCTTCGCCACACCTACCCAACTCAGCGCATGCTTCACAATGCGTTTCAGCAGCGCCTGGACGGTATTATCAAGATCCCAGGCCGCCACCTAACAAGACAGGTCCCGAGCCACGTTGAGGTCAATCAGGCTCAGGCTTCATCCGTCAGAACCCTGATTCTGACGCACCAGCGGTGTACGAGGATCGTTTTGGGAGCTTGCATCAGCCACTTTCATTGCACTCTTTCCCCCTGCGGTGCAGGCCGCCGCCTGATCAGCCACCCCTCGATCAACCACTGCTGCCCGGTGCTGCTGCTGCTGCGCATCCGCTGCCATCCTCATGCTGCCGAACAGCTTCTGGCCAAACGTCTGACAACTTGTAAAAATGGAAAGGAGGAGGGGGAAGTTTACATTGCATTTTGGTTTTCACATCGAATCACCAGTTGTGCTCATAAGAGAGAGAGACAAACACGAATTGAAGTGTAAGCAGCAAAGGCACACAGAGAGAGAGAAAAATGAATTGGTCAAAAGAAACAGAAAAAGAGAGAGAGACGTATTCATTCGATGACATGGCAAGGTATCGCGCTTGCGTGAAGGTTCGCAGTCAAGCAGTCAAGCACTCGCTTCCGGTACAGCTCTCAGGTCCTCGTTTGACCTCGGCTGATGCACGCTGCAATTTGCGCTAGCCAGAGAAAAAACAAGAAGAGTGTGCAAAAGGTTGAGAAGTTGGATCCTTCACAACTCGCCAGCGTGTGGCATTGGAGACTCCGCGCTTGCTTCCGAGGCGATCGGGACGTGCCACAGCCGCGCCTCGAGCTGCACGGCCTTCTCCAAGATGAGCTGCGCTGTCGGCTCGTCCAAGAAGGATGCATCATCCCCACCGCTCCCAAGAAGACCGAGGATCGTTCGACCGATTGCACAGGTTGATCCCTCCATACCGTGCTTCACAATCGGTGCATCGCCGCCATTCAAAAAAACAAAATCTTCCAAGCGCTTCCTCGTCAGGCTAGTCATGCCATCAGCCGGGCTGTTGTTCAAGGCATCATTGAGCGCCTTTGCGACCATTTTGTAGGAGCATAGGCACACCTGCATGGCCGCGATGGTGGCTTCGCAAGTTTCGTGGTGTGACTTGTAAAAGTCAAAGTAGGCGAGAAGTGCTTCGTTGGGTTCGTTAGCGTGCTGAATGTTAAACATCTCTTTGTATTCGTTGGCATTGCTGTCACCATATGACAGCTTGCTTTCGAGATCGATGATGAGCTGTCGCAGGCAAGGGTTCTTGTGGCGGCGGCATGCGTCGAGGCCGGGGCGAACCACCTCGGCATACTGCATCAAGTACAGAAGATCTTGCTGAAGAAAAACTTCAAAGTTGGCGTTGTCCGCCGTGTGCACGAAATGGTTTGTGATCAACTCGGCAAGGGCTTGAGAGTGTTTGAAGATCCCTGGGTGGATGGGCCCTTTCGATGGCACTGGACAAGAGGTGACTTGCTCTTCGGCTTTGGCGACGGTGTCGACTCCTGTTGCGGCCACCACGAGAAACAGGCCGCATAGCCACTGCCAAGAGCCCGGAAGATGCATCGTGTCGGATCGTGGAGCAAACCAGGAGTTGACTCTTTCATGGAGTGAAAAGTGAAACAAAGCGCCCAACCACAGCCCCGCCCCAAACGTTGACCCGCTGCACCAATGTCAGAAGAAAAATTCAATGGCTTCGGTTCACATTCAAGACGGCGGGAGCCCCTAAGTGCCATTTGCTCTTGGCTGTCCCTTGTCAAGAGTCTCTGTTGGCTTTCCGTATGAATTCATGGCCGTTTACGCAGGCCTGGTACAGTGGCGTAGAGCCTTTTTCTGTGAGATGGTGCATCGGATGATGCATGACCACTTTGTGCAGGTTCAGCAGCATCATCATATGGGACAGGTCTACTATGATCATACGGGATCAAGGGAGAAGAAGAAGGCACCGATCCTGTCCTGTCCTTCAAGTGTTTCAACAGCCTTTGTGCCTCCTCCACACACCCGTTCTGTGGGGATGATGCACCATAAGAGCTCCACCATAAGCAGGGAACACTTGACTAAAGTTGTCGTAAGAAAACGGAATAGTATTTTACTAAAATTTATCTCGAATTCGTTGTTTTTTTTTTTTTTTTTTGTTTTTTTGTGATTTTTGTGATTTTTGTAATTTTTGTGCTGAAAGAAGACCTGCGACGCGAGTCGGGGCAGCGAGTCGAACAACATGAGCGCGCTTGTCGAGACAGATCTGCTAACGCAGGTGAGATTGATTTTGAGCTGTGAGCTGTCACTGTTCATCCGAGCACGATCTATGAGCTAGGCGAAGAACTCCCCACGGCAGAAACGGCTCACTGGCGATGCTCAACGATTGACCCCTGTCCTTCACATCTCGCAGGGCTGCTTTTATCACCCGCGTCAAGGTCGCAGCAGTGAAGACCAGGCTGTGTCATCACCCTCGCCCAAGCGCGGCCGACACCAGGGACGCCACCCCCGTTCCTCGGCGGCTAGTGTAGCGCATTCTGCACAACCCGATGAAACACCGCAACAGCGACTTTTTAAGACTCTTTGGCGTTCCTACGAAACCAAGTTTGACGTATGCTTCGCCTGCTCGCGTGCCATGCGTGCCGTTTGCCGTTTGAAGGCATGAGAGGAGAGCTGGATTGAAATAAAGGAGTCAGGGAGTTGAGTTCAGCGCCATTCCAATCAGTATCGCCACTGTCCTTGAGCTCGCGCTCTCCTGTGCCGAACTTGAGAATGGCGCTCGGCCGAGGGGCTTATCGCTCGGAGAGTGATAAGATAGCCTCATCCAGCTTGACCGCGTTGCGTCTAGACGCTTCTGGGAAGCAGCAACGACAGTGCATTCCAAGCCATCCTCGACTTTTTTCGGGCACAATCGCAGCTGGATGAGGCCCCGGTGCACACGGATGTCAGACAGTATCGTTGCCCTCCGCACCTTCGCGCTCAAAGTATTCATGTTCAGGGCATAGCCTGACAGTCTGGCCCTACCTCCGTGGGTTGGGTGTTTGTACTCTCCCATTCTGTAGGAAATTTCAACGGCCATCGTCTTGACGGGCATCAATGTCCCCGACCATGACGCCATCTTTGCCCGCCTGACACAACAACTGCATGTAGGCTGCTTTTGCTGATACACGTGTCAAATACCACCACCCCCTTGGTCAACTGGCCGACTCACTGCCATGTGGGGACGCAAACGCCACTTAGGAATTGTCTCCTTACATTGTAACCCTCAAATCTTTTCAATGTCAAAATTTTGCCGGGGTTATGAAGCGACTGGTTCGTCTGGCCCCGCTGTATCGACGCCATTTCAGTTTTTATTTTTTGGCTCCTTCAAGCCATCGCTCGTGGCATGTGTCACAAAGCGCCCTGTCATGCTTTGGCGCTCAGGTGCAAGACCTCATGTTTACCGATGCCGATGCCGAGGGCGAGGGTGGTGGGGGTGGCCCCGCATCTGCGCGTCCGAAGCGAGCCAAGCTGGCCCGACTGCCCAACTATGACTTTCAGGTCTGGAAAAATTTTCGTTGTTGTTGTTATTGTGGTGGTGGCAAGCATACTCGTCTACCACCACCATTTATTTACATGTGATGCACGCGCACTTACATTGCTCAAGCCAAGAACATCTCCCGCTGATCTGATGCTGCCTCGTACATACCTTTGCACCAGGTTTTGCAAAATTGGTATTCTGCAGCGCGGGCTAGCCTGCCAAGCGGTCGCCGCCGTCCACTGATTATACAGCTCCAGGACTTTGAGGCTTTTGATACGATGGTACGCAGTGTTTGGAGCACGCGTGCATAGCAACACCCTGAAGGCTAACCGGACATTGTCTGTTCAGGTGGTCGCGGATCTGGTACAGTCATGTCAACGCCACTTGAAGGAGCTGCCCTTTTTATTTGTTCTGGGAGTTGCTTCGACTCCAGACGTTGTACCTAGGTAGGATCAGTGTCAGTGCTTACGTTGACCAGCCGTGCTCTTGCATTCGAGCGCACTCGCTCACTGCATGCCATCGCTTGCACGATGGCATGCTGCCTGGCTCTGAAACAGACACCTTCCCCGAGCGGCCATGACATGCCTCAATACCAAGAGTTTCCGTCTTCAGCACCCAGACCGTCTGCTGAATGCTGCTGCAAGCGTGCTCATCAGCGAGGAAACGCCTTTGATTTTGGGTCCGCGGTATGAATGGTCATTTCCATCCTGAGGCTTTTTGAGGTGTTCCATGGCCCATCCAGCTGCAAGCCACCCTTGACTCGACACTTGCCTCATCTCCTTGCCCGCTGACATTGCTACCACCTAGGCCATTGCGGGAGCTCTTGGACGCGTTCCTTTTCCATACACTCTCCATCAACAGCTTTCGGATGCAGCTGAAACTTGCAATCCACGAGCACACGGCTCGACTTGGCGACGACGTCGTTGACGTGAGTACTGAACTTCTTGATTTCGGAGAATGGCATTCCGACCTTATCTAACCCGACCCGCCGCGCCTGCTGGCGTGAGGCACGACGCAGTTGCTGCTAGCTCCCGAGGCCCCGTCGAGCCATGTGCACCACCGTGGGCGCTATCAGCTGGTGGTCCTAGTAGCTCTGCTTTGTCAAGCGCTAGCCAAGAGTAGGTCGTGCCATGCCAGATTGACTCTGTGAAACTCCTTCTGTTGATACCGGCTCCCCTTGCGTGCCGTGAGTGTCCGTGTCTTCCCTCATTCATCCTCTCACCCATCGGTAGGTGTCCGTCAAGAAGCCAAGACAGTCATTTCACAAAACCTCATGACTTGGCTCTTAATGTTGCTTCAGCGGCCCCTGCTCGACTTGGCCTTGCTTCCCGATTTTAGTGCCCACTTGCGGTATGATGGTCGCCGCTCCATTTTCCTGGATTGTGCTTGATGCTCATTTGATTCGCAGCTGTACGCTGTCACCTGCGTCTTTGAACCTCTGCTCACAATCTGACTTTTGATAGGAGTCATTTGAGTCCTGAGAAATTGGCTGAATGCCTGAAGGAGCTCATACAGCTGGTTGAGGCACGCAGCAACGAGCTTGAGCACTTGCAACCTGAGCTACAAAAGCCCATGCAGCAGCTTTGCGAGGTCTTTGGTCAGATTATATCCGAGCTTCTCACTGCGGACAAGGTATGGCATGAGAACAAAGGCTGCACAGCCATACGCTTTTGCGGGTTCAGTTTTCAGTCAGATTCCTGACATGGATTCCTTGTGCGTGGTCGTAGCCCAATGAAGAGACCCAATCCGCGCCCATGGCTGCAGAGGCTGGCGATGAGGTCCCTAGTGATGCTGCGAGGTGAGCCCGCGGGGGCAGATGCGTGCCACATCGTGTAGCTCGACAATTGGTACTCACGTATACCCCTCGACAATGCCGCAGTCGTGCCAGCGTCCATGACGTCTTGAGTGGTACGGCAGAACCAGCACCCAAGCCAAATCTCCTCAAGCGCTCCACCCTGCGCAGCTCTCTAAAGGGTCGCCCCACCGCTGGTACACGTGTGAAGCACGGTGTGGAGGCGATGTTTGCGGCTCTTGACCACTTTATGCGCCCTTGGCATGAAGCGGATCACACGGAAAACAGTGCCATCACCGTGTCGAACAGTGTAACAGCTCTATCTCAAGGTGTGAGCGGCACCCAGAGCCAGAATCCCCATGCCATGCTAGACCCGCCGCCTCACGACGCTGTATTTCGGTCCATCTTCTGTCATAGAACCTTTGCGGTCTTGTTTGCATGAGCACTTGGCCTCGGCTGGACCTTTGCTCGGTCTCTCAAGCTCGTCTTTAGCGGCCAAAGCGGCCAGCCGTGCGCTTGAGGCTGGGGCCGATCTGAGTGGACTACCGGACTTGAGTGTGGTATACTTGTTGTACCTAGAATCGGGCAAACTGATCAACCTACGAGATTGGATGACGGTACGTGGCCAGCGTTTACGAGACGGCTGCCGCGCCCGTGTGAGGCACCGCCGCTGAGGTGGCACCCGCACGCTCTGCTCTTGTGCTTACATATGCTGCCTTGTCGCTTGTTCTTCCCTTAGGCATTTGTCGCGGCCGTTTCACCTGCGTCAGACGATGCGGGACAGGACAACATGTCTGGAGACGATGACGAACCGACGGAAACTGCACAAGCTGCAGCGGATTCCGAGGCAGAGAGTGAACGTTCAATCCAGTTGCAGGTGCGCTTTGCGCGAGCAGTGGGCGAGCTGGAATTTATGGGCCTGGTCAAGAACACCAAGCGCAAGGCCGATCACATGCAACGCATGACGTGGGGCCACATTTAAGTGGAAGTGTGTATGGAAGAGCCTTGGGGCATGCGCACTGTACTTTTTTTCTTCTTTTCTTTGTTGCAAGAAGTGTTCTTGCACCCAATACGAACGAGTCGTGCTGCGTACGTTTGATGACATTATCATCGTGACATGAAGGTTCCAAATGCCACAAGCCATTGGTTCCAATCACTCAAAAACAGCACAGAGCTGTACACCCTTGTCGGCCCTACGCCCAAGCTGGCATTTTCAAGTCTAGAATTATCGAAATCGCTCATGCAGTTCAAGGTGCACTCAGGGACACTGCTCAGCAGTCTGCCGGGCCGAAGGGGCACCGCAATCAAAGCACAACCCACACACGGAAAGTCGCATCAGTCTACATCTGATGGAATGAGACGATTCATGCATCGGAAGAATCAGCCAGGAGTGGCCGCGTGGGGGAGGATACAGGGCGAGGATACAGGTTGCTTGTCTCTAGATCAGCGTGGGAGGACTGTCGGTGGAACAGAGACGCCATATAGGTAAAGAGAGCGCTGGTGACAATGTAGCACGTCGGAACCACCACCAAAAGACTGCTTGTCACCTGTGCGCAGTGCACCATGAGAACGAGAGGTTAGAACCAGGCACTATGTAAACCTCAACGCGCATGTCACGATGGCTGGCAAACAAGGCTTTGGTTGAGTGCAAATGGGAATCAAAAGGCTTGCATACCGGGTGCTGGCGTTGATGACCCCAGGTACTATCTTGCATGGCGCCAATCAGGAGTGGGCCAAGTCCCCCTGCAAGCAGGTTTCATGCCAAGTCGATGTGGCCGGCCCCGATCAAAACCCAAAGTGATTAGTGCAGTAGCAATTAACAACAGCAAAGGCGAAGTATCGACATGTGAAGCAGTCGACACGGGTGTGAATTCGTGTCCGTACCAATCAGGGTGTTTACGAGCAAGAAAATGGCATTAGCCTGTGACCGATACGGTGCCTCGACAATGTCCTACAGTCGGATCAGCAAGTCATAAGGCAAAAGGCAATGCCTAGACATGGCTGCCATTGGATTGCTAGTCTGATGCCTACCTGGATGATACAGGCGGCAAGGCCCAACCAGGTCTCAGCTGCAACGTATGAGAACATGATAAGGACCAATGCAGTGGATCGTGTGCGCGTCAGAAACACCCCCATCACCAAAGGAGTGGCCAAGACCTATTACAGCCCCACGATTTGTTAAAGCGAACTTGGGAAATCGGGTTTGGCCAACAGAAATGCCAAGTAAAAAAAAAAGCGGGGGGTGTCCATGATGTGGGCTGGCTTATCTGACTTTACCTGGGACACGGCAATGATGTAGCATTTCGAGGCCGTGGTCACTCGAGAGAGCTTATCGCTCACACGACCGCCTGAAAGTGGAATAGGCACAAGAGTATGTTGAGCGACCTGGCCAAGCTACAGGCCACGACAAAAGCGGGCACCTCTGGCGGCAGATTCATACCGATGAGGCTACCACAGCTCCCGCCAACAGTAACGATAATGCCCATGGCGACCATGGTGTGGGCGTAGGCGTCATCGTCCAGATCAAAGCGTTCGCGAAAGAAGGAGGGGAAATAGGCTCCCAGTGCATAGCCAGCCACGTTGCGGACAGCTGCAGCGAAGCACATGAGGACAAAGACGAGGCGGTAGGGGCTTCGCCTATCGGAGGTGAAGCAAAAAGATGATCAACAGATTGAATGGAGCGGTGAGGAGGAAGGCGCGCAAGCATGCATCGAGCCAGGGAAGGCGGACAGCGGCCATGCGGGCGTACCACAGGACACGTGCCACTGCCCAAAAGGAATGATGGGCGCGATCTTTACGGCCATCGCTGTAAACGTCAGAGCGGCGTGCTGCCACGGCGTAGATGCAGCCTAGTACCAGGCCGGGTAGGCCAAAAGCCAGAAAAGTCCGGCGCCAGCCAAAGCGCTCGTTGACAGCCCCGGCGATGTAACCCATGCCACCGCCAATGTAGACACCCGTGTAGAAGATGGCCATGGCTGTGCCACGTGTGCGAGGTTCGTGGAGGGCAGCGATTGTAGTTATGGCCACGGGACTGTACACGGCTTCCCCCAGGCCGAGCGCGAAGCGGAGTAGCATGAGCTGCCAGAATGACTGGATAAAGTATAGTGCGGCTGTGGTGAGGGACCAAAAAATGGCAGCCACAGCCAAGACGAGACTACGACGATGGCGATCGCCCAGGTAAGCCAGAACGACGCCTGCGGTGGCATAGATGACAGTAAAAGTCGGGCCCTTGAGCAGGCCTTCCATGGTGTCGGAGAACGAGAGGCAGTCTGCATCGGCGTCCCCTTGCGTGTGCAAGCCGCTCACATCAAACCAAGCACTAACGCTGACACCTGAATAACTCGTGTTGGTCGAGTTTGGGGATTGACTGGCTGCACTCGAGTTGCATTTGAGACCGCCACTAATAAGGACGGGTAGCAGCTGTCGATCGGCCTGGTTGAGAATGAAGATGAGCAAGAGCAGGCCCAGCACGAGGACACGCAGCGTGGTGGGGCAGCGCGCATTCAAGCCCACCCCACCCTCAACCATACCCTTTGCCATCCTGTTGGTCCAAACGCCCCCAGCCCCCCCTCGCAGGCGCGAACACACGCCCCGCCCCGTTCACCACACCAATCGCCCCGACCTCGATCCTCTCCCCAAAACTCTTCTCTTTTTTCTCATCAGCACCCCTCAAAACTGCCCGCCACCCTGTTGTTGGTTGAAGAGAGAGAGACACACTTTTTTTTTTTTTTTTTTTTTTGGTTTTTTTTTTATTTCTTTTGTCACTCTCTCGTCTCACTCTCTCTCTCTCTCTCTCTCTCGTCTCACTCTCTCGTCTCTCTCGCATGGAAGTGCCGGGATGGCTACTCGCCCGGGTGCAGCAGAGGTGGGCGCTGTTTTGGCACGGCTGCGACTTTTGTCTGCGGATATCCGTTCACGGGGGAATGTCGGGTTGACCGCCATCGACCACGCTCTCTTCAATGAGCTCGAGGTCGCCTTGAAGGACTTGGCTGAGCAGGTTGACCAGCTGGATGCGGCGGGGGCCATGGTACTCTTTGAGAGACATCCAGAGTAGGTTGCCTTGCTCGGCTTATATTCATCTCTGCTTTGTCGGACCTTTCCCCCTCCTTGCTGCCTCGCACAGCATTGACCTCTGAATCGACGCGCGGATATGCAGACTGTCATGGCTCTTGGGCCGGCTGATAGAAAGTGCGCCGGCTGCGGCCTGGGCACCAGCTGCCGTACACACTGCCCTGGCCATCGCCCGCCTCCTTGTCCGGCGCTTGAGCTCACTGGCCGATGGTGACCATGGCTCAAACAATGCATTTGCTTGGTGGGCCGCCACTCTAGTTGAAGGGTTTGACGCAGCCGCCTTTGTCACACTAAATCCCGTGGATAGCCCGGCCTCACTAACCGCGCCAGCACCTCCGGCCAAGCGAGCGACGCGCCGCTCACCCCACGATCAACTTGTGCAGCTCATTCAAATTCAATTTGCAAGCGCTCCACCACTATCCAATCTCATGTGCACCTCGCCCAGGAAAAGCCTCGGCAGCTCGGTGCCGCGCAGCCCGCTGCCCATGCCTGATTTACGTGATGAAGCGCTGCATAAGCTCGTCGTTCTCATCGGTGAGGCCAAGGCGACACAAACCAAACCCGGCACCTGTCTCCGCTGCGCCCAGCTGGCAGCCGGCACCGCCCTTCGCTTCTTACGCGCTTGTGGCGGCAAAGACCAGCGGCTGCGCGGGATCCTGCTGGGCGCTGCCCGCCGCTCGCAAGCAAGCCGGGCAACACCATGCAGATGCTGCTGTTTTGTGTCCCAGCCACAGGCCTTGCTGGTGGCTGAGATCTGGCACTGGTTCACGCACAGCCCAACACGCTGGGCCATGCTTGGCCCACCAGGTCGCCGAGCCCTGCAGATGGCCAGTACGCCGGCCATGGCGACATGGCTGTGCGATGCCGTCCGGGAGTGGGCTGCCGCGGGCTGCACCCAACAGCACCCACCGATACCCCCCACTCTCATCTGGGCGGTGACCACCAGTGCTATGGGTATACTTGCAACGATCCGTGCTTGGGATGAGCTTGGCACCGTCAATCCAAAAGCATGGCTGGCGGCCGCACGCTTCTGGGCCGCCATTGCCTGGCGAGATGCTTCAGCCGACACGCCAGGGCCTTTGGGAATGCGCGAACTCATTGGTCCCCGGCCCCATCTAGCCCCGGCCGAAGTCCTGGCTGCAGACTTGACAGGTGCTGTCCCCGTGTACCCCGGAGATGCGCGAATGGTCGAGTTGATGGTGGGAACCTTGTCAGGGAGGCCCGACTGGTGGCGACGCTGGCTGCGCCAGCATGCTTGGCTAGAGCCCCACCTGCCCTCTGTGAGCCCCGTCGTGCCGTAAAGTAGCACCTTCGGAGCGACGATTGTGGCGCAGAGCGTCAGAGACGCAAGACAGGTAGCTCCAGCGCTGCACTGGCTGCTGCGTAGCGCTCCTGTAGCTCGGCAAGCTGAGCTTGCAATCGGGATAGCAGGGTGGGATTGGTGACAACATCGACCTCATCCTCGCCCGCCGCCACGACCAGCGCATCATCAAATTGAGCCACATCTGGATGAGCCGTGTGCCACATGCAAACACACATGAATGAGGGCGCGCAGAAGCACAGTGAAATGCAGGACCCAAAAAGCCAGGACCCAAGCAGGGCAGTTCAAGCACAGAGTCATGAATAAAAGGCAAACATACCAGCACTCATATCATAGACTTCGGCATACACAGCTTGGAGAGCAGCTACCTCCGGGTGGTCGTGAGGGAGAGTTTTGGTAGCAAGAATTAAAGCCGAGCTGCGTGGCGAACGACGGCAAGGAAGCGTGAGGGAGCGTCTGGGGCGAGCCATCCACTGTTTGAAGCAAGACCGCACCAGACAAAACCCTGTAGCCGGCCATATTGGTGCGCAAGTGCGCGAGCTTGTTCAAGGCCCGACTCGAAGCCACGCTGCAAGCCCGCCTCGCGACCCGCTGCCGCCCCGTCTGTGTAGCCCATCTAAAAGCAGAAAGAGAGAGTGTGTGTGTGTGTCAAGCACAAGCAGAGGAGCAGTGAGCACAGTCTTTTATGCTACTTGAGGTCTGCCATTTAGGCACGTACACGCCAATGGCGATCCTGGCGCTGGCGCTGCTCTGCCGCTGCAATATCAAACTCGGACGCGCCGGCATCAAACACGTCATCCCAGTCGTCCATGTTGCTGGTATAACTCAAACTCTGCTTGAGCACAAAGCAAAGCAATCCGACTCCTCGCCTCAGCCTCGGGTCTTGGCGCCCTGTGTGTCCACTCGGTACGTCTCAATCCTTCGCGCTTGCAACACAGAGTGCACAGTCAACTGCACCGACTGCCCTTTTGAAGCGTTTCGCGCGGAAACTAAAATTCGTCAAATACAAAAAGCACGTGGTGTGTGTGTGTCTGAAAGTGTCTGTGACTCTCAAACCAACCAAACCAATTCTGTCGCTCTGTCTCTGTCTCTCTCTGTCTCTCTGTCTCTGTCTCTCTCTGTCTCTCTGTCTCTGTCTCTGTCTCTGTCTCTCTCTGTCTCTCTGTCTCTCTGTCTCTGTCACTGTCTCTGTCTGTCTCTGTCTCTCTGTCTCTCTCTCTAAATCTCTCTCTCTCTCTCTCTCTCTCTAAATCTCTGTGTGTCTCTCTCTCTAAATCTCTGTGTGTGTGTCTCTCTCTCTAAATCTCTCTCTAAATCTCTCTCTCTCTTTCTCTGTCTGTGCTCTCTTCTGTGCTCTCTTTCTCTGTGTCTGTGCTCTCTTTCTCTGTGTCTGTGCCTGTGTCTGTGCCTGCGTCTATCTGCCTGTCTGCCGGTCTGCCGGTCTGCCTGTCTGCCGGTCTGTTTGTTTGAATGCGACATTTGGCGCTCTGTCGCTTTGTCTCTCTTTCCTTTTCATCTCTATATCTGAGGTTTTCGTCCAAGTGCCCTTTACCCCTCCGCATATGCACTCACTCTGCTACTTCGACCACTTTGGTGCATCGGCTGCGACCAAGGGAAAGCACCAAGTGTTTTACAGGTTGAAAAAAAAGAAAGGCGTGCATTTGGGCTGGACGA